ACTTGTTAATTTATATAGAATATAGTATTTTGTTTTTTTTTGAGTCAGGGTCTCACTCTGTCACCCAGGCTGGAGTGCAGAGGCACGAACATGGCTCACCACAGCCTCAACTTCCTGGGCTCAGACAAGCCTTCCACTTCAGCCTTCTGAGTAGCTGGAACTACTGGTGTATGCCACCACATCTGGCTCATTTTAAAATTTTTTGTAGAGATGAGGTCTTGCTACGTTGCCTAGGCTGGTCTCAAACTCCTGGGCTCAAGCAATCTTCCTGCCCTCTGCAACTATAGCCTGCCAGAATGTGGTATGCTTGCTAGCCCTGATCCTGACAAAGATAGGAAGTCAGAAAATATATATACATATATATAGGGAATATATATTCCCTATATATTATATATATATATATATAATATAGGGAATATATTATATATAAGGAATATATATAGTATAATATTGTATAATATAGTATACATATATGTATTCTATATTATATACATAGTATATATATCTATATATATTTCTATATATCTATATCTATATCTATATGTGGTATGTGTGTGTGTATAACGTTTTAAAGGGCATTATTCTTCCACAAACCACTTTATATTTAGTGTTCCAGAAATCCCAAGGATCTACACTGTAAACCTTGAGAAGAGTCAGGGGGAGAGAAGATAAACCTACCAGGAGAAAATATACCATCACCATCTTTACTTGACCATCCAACTATCTCTCTCATCTTCTTAAGCGTTATTTGCTCCATGAGGACAAATACTGGTGCAATTTCATATGTAAACCTGGAAAGGTGGTAAGAAAACAGGGATGAAAGAAAGTAAAGAAGTCAAACCACTTATTTTGGGAACACAGAGGACTGGTTTAGTATTTGTACTTGGGTTCTAAAAAAAAAAGATGTCTCAAATGACTAATTTCCAGGAAATTCATTAAGTCACCAATTCTAAAATTTCAGAAGCCAGCCTGGGTTGCAGAGAGAAGTGGTAGAAGTGCCTACCCAGTGAACTTCTCCAACAATAGATTTTCTTCTGAATGGAATGTCTTAGGCTGGATTCACTCAGAGGAACAGAAGGAAAGAAAATGACTTTTCTGAGTCCCCTTTATCTCTAAGATTGTAGGACAATGCAAATTGTTAATTGGGAAAAAATGCATTCTAAGTTCTATATAAAATTGGTTTGTAACATTTTTTCTTAAACCAACTGCCAGTTTCACACTTGTAGAATCTATAAAAGCCAGAGCCAAAGTCTATCTTTAAAAACAGTGTAAACATTTGAAAGCTAACTGTGAAGATAATTGGAAATATTGACCCAGGTTTCAAAGATCTCAATATAACTACGTGGTTTTTCTACTAATAATTCCCAGGGACAGCTAGGTTTCTACAATTCTCTGAAGTCAATATTTGTCAAGAATAATTATAAGTGATGATTTCTAATTACTGATTATAAATAATAAGAAGATGGTTAACTGGCATCCACAGCTAACTGTGGGCATCTGATATCCTGGTGGATTACATTTGTCTTCTAACACGCTGCTTTAGAAGTAGTAAGCCATGCTCTTTTCAATGCAATTCAAAACAGAGGCACAGTCTGATAGACCAGTCATTGAAACAAGATCATGGTACAAAACACAAGGCTTAAGAGAAATCAAGGAAGGTCTATCCTCAGAAAATTGAGCCAGAAAACAAAAAGATATTTACAAGTTCTGAGGCTCTCTGCCTTTCTCGTTTCTGCCTGGGCTTCTTAAGCATTAGAGTCTGTGGGCTGGGCTCAGACCATCCTTACTGAAAAGAGATGCCTAGACAGACTCAGCCAAGTGATAGGGAAAGGCTTTTTCATTGTTAGGGTGTTTGAGCTGAATGTCAATGTTGGGGACTGAGGGGAATTCTTGCTTGCTTAATGATTTAGAAAAGCTATTTGTAAGAATGAGATAATGATTGTTGTACATAAGACACAGGTGAAACTGCCAAGTTTTAACCATGGAGGAGAAAAGCAACCAAATTAATCACATGGTGGTAGAAGAGGACAAAAAGATCGTGGAGGATCCTCAGGATATGTCTGTTGGTGGAAGTATCTTGTTTCCAAAAAGAATATATCCATTTTCCTTGGGAAGTCCCTGGAAATTTAGGAGGAAGACCCTTGGAAACCATGTGTTCAGTTACCATCACCTCTGGAGGTCACAATCATGCTTTGGTTCTGCTCTGAGCCCCATCACCGTAGCAACCAACACTCCCTCATGTCTGATGGCCTGATAAAGGAAGAAGAAGAGAAGGATTCCTGGTTTAGCCTGTGCTGCTGAGTGTATCAAGGGGCAAACTCATGATGGGCTTCTAACCATTCTTGAACAAAAGTGTTATCAGTGATTCCACTGAGTTTTGGAAATGTTGAAATGGCAAAAGTGTTTGCATGGGGAAGAGGTACTGGTGGCAGTGTTTGTGCTAAAATCTCACAACACCAAATAAGAAAACTGTCTGGGGTAAGGCAAGGAACAAATGGAATCATACACCATAATATCAGAATCGTACCAAAGATGGAATGAAAGTCAACTTAGAGTCAAATTGGTGCTGGAGGCCAGGCAGGAGCCACATGGGCAAGGGAGAAGGAATGAGACTGAAGACTAGGGACTGGTCCAACTCCTTGTTTCATGATTTAAACCAATTTGGGCCCCAGGTTTGCTTGACCACAAACAGGGCCATTACTCTCAGGATTAGGAAAAAGAATCTAGAGAGTATGATCATGAGATTATCTTGTCTCAGCGACTTCAGGTTCCTTATCTATGCCTGATCCTGACTCCTAAACCTTTCTTTCAGTTCTATTCAACAAATACTGAGTGACTATTCTCTGCCAGATGACATCCTATGTATCAAGGAGACTAAGATGTTATAAGACATCATTCTTAACTTCGAGGAGGAGGCTATCTAGGATGAATCCAGTGTCTGGCTCTTGGCCTTAGCTGCATTCCAGTTATAGTTCCCACCTGGGTCTAATGGGACACCAGGCTTATCCTGACCCATGAGCTGAGTCCTGATGTCCTCCCATGAAAGCTGGTATATCACTCCGTGGCTGCTGATCCACAGCCAGGCCTGATACACAGGCTAACATGGTGTTCTTCGTTCCTGATACTTCTTCTGACCCTGCCTTTCCATCCCGGGCTGTGTTTACAATCTATAAGGCTGCACCCAAAACCTTACAGGAGGCCTTGCAGTTCACCCTAGAACAGTGGTTCTTAACTTAATTGGGATCACACACCCCTTTGGGAATCCTGGGCAAGCTACAGCTCCTCACTCTAGATAGAAAAATGAATATATGCACATCATTTTGTATACAACTATAGGAAATTATTCTCTTGTAACCTGGACCCCAAGTTAGGTGCCCCTTCCCTAAATGACGGATGATAGCAGATGAAGTCAAGAGATCAAAAGTCTCTTGAAGCTGAACTTGGAAGAAGGTCTCCTGAACGTAGAAGAAGCTGGTTAGATGCTAGAGTCAGAGTACAAGATTACATTTCAGAATCAGAACAAGAAACTAAACCTGTCAAAGCTTTGGCTTGAAGCAGAAGAGCATGGGATTAGAAGTCAGGATTTAAAACAGTAAGATGGTGCCATTCATGGAGAGACACTGAAGTTGAGTTTGGCTTTCTCCTATATTCTGGGAAGGGTGGTGAGTCAGTGCTTGTTTAGTGGTTCAACTCACTTTCCAGTGGGGTTCACTCAGAACTAAGGTAAATCGATTGTCAAGAAGTCGTAGTCCTCTGATGGCAGAGTCTGCTGGTTGCTAACCTTATCAGTTTTCCCTTGCTTCATTACATTTTATTTAGGGTTGTAGTTCACCCAAATCAAAGACTATATTTTCTAGCCTTTTTAGGTGTGGCCATGGGACTACATTCGGCTAAAGAGGTGGTATGGGAATGTCGTATATGACTTCTGAGAAGTTTTCTTAGCAGGAAGGAGTATGTTCCCCCTTTTGCCTTCTTTCTTCCCTTCCTCCCTCCCTCCCTCTCTCCCTTCCTTCCTTCCTTTTTCTCTCTCTCACTACCTCCTTCCTGAGTTCTGGAACACAGAAGTGATGGTTGGAGCTCCAGCAGCCAGCCCGTGCCATGATGCAATTTTGAGGATGAGTGCTGTGTGCTACAACCGGGATTTGAAAGGTACAAGGAACTGGATCCCTGATGGCTGTCGAACTGGGAACTTCCTTAATGAAAGGAATAAAAAGTCTTTTATGTTGACTCTATCTTGACATTCTTCCAAGACTTCCTCTCCTTGCGGATGTGGGAGGTAGCACATCTTTACCTTAAAAGGTAACACACCTTGGGGAGATGAGTGAAACCCTCTGTTGTCCAGATGATGAGAGACAGAAACAAAAGAGTAAGGAGGTTGAAGAGAAGGGTCTCAAATGGCAACAGTGACCTGTGGAGTGGCTACCTTTCCTAGGTGCATGAATTGTACCTTGTATTCACTAGGCATTTAGGGCTGGAGCCTTCTTTAAACTACTCTGTAGGACGGATACTATTATCCTCCATTCTTCTGTTAAAGAAACTGAGGTTTGGATAAATTGTGATTTGTTTTAAGATCTCCCAGTTAATATGTTTCAGAGTCAGAATTCCATATCCTTTACATCACAGCTGCTTTTCTATGACAAATGAGAACTGCTCACTGCAAGCTCCTCGCTAACGACCTGCCCAGTGGTGTAAAGTGACAGATAACTCCCACTGAGAATTTCTCCAGTGTACTTTCTATGAAAATAAAGTGCTAGATGCTCGAAATCATAACCTCATAGCAAAGGGGGTGATAGATCTTGCCATTAAGATTATGCATTGTCCTCAGGTGTTTGAGGGCAGGCTGGCATTTACACTTGGTAAACAGTCTGTACAATTGTGCCTGGTGACCCTATTTTGGAAGAAAAGAGCCATATGTTCCTTGTACAGCTATATATTTGTGAAGTTTTCTTTGAATCTTCCCTAGGCCCTTGCTTGAAAGAATATACCTCAAAGCTACACACACAAGCAGGTGTAAAGGCATGAATAAAGAAATTCTTTCTGTGCTAACAGTCAGACACCTTACACTTTGCCACTAGAATTAGGATATCAGATAGTTCTTTTTAAAAGACTATACTGAGGAATATAGTTAACATTCTGTATTGACAGAGTCACCTAAACCCAATGAGAGTACAGGACCAAAAAATAAGCATATTACTAATGAAATCCTGCTCTGCCAGAGAAAGATCCTTTTGCCATTCTTTCCCAGACTTATTTTAAACACTGTTCCCAACTGGAGAAGAAATTGCCACAAGGGAGCAAATTCTGCCCAAGCTTCTGACATAGCTGCCACATTTCATGATCTTCCAGGGCAACTGACTTAGAACAATTTCTAGATAATAGTTATTACTTCTTCAGACAAAGACTTGTCTCTAGAACTGATAGAAACTATTTCACTATTTTAAATAACCTTCTTTATTGATCTGTTGGATCGGATCATATTTTATAAATATCTACTGTTCAGTACAGTTGCAATTACTATGTGTCATTTAGTTGGAGTGGCCTTGACCTCAGACAGCTAGGACATATTTTAGTGCTTTGTGGCTGAGCTAAGAGAAGAGTAAGGGACTTTGATTTTATGAACACATACCAAAAAAGGATAATTAGTGGGGTCTTTCTGGCTAAAGAAAAGTATTTTGGGAGAATATCTGGGCATAAATGGTTTGAAGGGGTGAGTTTCTTTATTTACCTTGAGATTGAAGATATATGTATATCTCCAAAGATACGTTATATATGTTATATTATATATATATATATATATATATATATATATATATGTGTGTGTGTGTGTGTGTGTGTGTATTAGGAAATGGCAGCTGAGAGGCTGCAGAACACATACTTAAAGATGTTGGGTAATTCAGAGTATATGTCAATATGGGTACTTGGGCCTTAATGGATATGTGCCTTTTACATGTTTTCCTCACTTATTTTCCAAAGAGTTGAGTTTAAAACAACTGTACTTTCTAACTTAAATTATTCCTTAGTGCTAGATGCTACAATTAAGCATCAGTGTCTTTTTTCCACGTTACAGTTAGCATATTATGACTTGTGCTGACTGATATGTTATCTCACAAATCATAATACAGTAAAGATTGCAAAGTGGAGCTTTTTGTTCGAGGGACCCTTCCCAGCAATTGTATCTTTGACCTGAATTCCTCTTGGCCCTTCAGAGTCTCGGTGACTCAACACGGACGCTCTGAAGCTAACTGTGACTTACGAGCAGGAAGCATGAAAACCATTTCAGTTTTTCAATCAATTTAATCTTTCATGCTTTTTAGCACCAAAGGCTTCACTGTCACATTTGTTTTTTTAAATTTCTCACTGCTGATTTAAATTAGCAAACAAAACATGAATCTTTAAACTTTTCTGAAAGTGGTTAAGGATTTTGAGCCACAGCATTAAACAGTTTTAAAACACACATGAATCAATATATAATTTTAGCCAAGTGTGGTGGCTCACGCCTGCAATCTAAGCACTTTGGGAGGTGGAGGTGAGAGGATTGCCTGAACCCAGGGGTTTGACCAGCCTGAGCAACCTGAGGAGATCTTGTCTCTACAATAAATAGAAAGAAATTAGCCAGGCATTAGGATGGGCACCCATAGTTCCAGCTACTTGAAAGGCTGAGGTGGAAAGATCATCTGAGCCCAGCAGGTTGATGCTACTGTGGCCATGATCATGCCATTGCACACTCCAACATGGGTGACAGAGTGAGACTCTGACTCAAAAAAAATAAAAAATAAAGCAATAAATAAATGCCCTTCAGGTTTTATGGTTGGTAGTAGTTTGTTTAGGAAAATGAGAATACCTTGAGCTTTAATAATTTACATTCTATCTTATTATCAGGTGGAACTTCTCATTTTAAACAATACTACCCTTTGGCCTAAATTTACTTTTCAGACTCTACCATGATCTTGAAATATGGGTGACTATTTTTCAAATATTTCCACAGCAACTAACAATCATAATTCTTACATAGTCATTTTTAAATTGCTGTAAGAAATTTGCTTCATTATTGTCCTTTGGATACTTTTAATAGAATGCAGTGCCATTGTCTTGGTATGTGGTAAAACGTTGTCATTAGCATTGAGAGCAAAGACAATACTCTGTAGGCTCTGATGACTCTCTATCAATGTGTGACTTGTCTTTGCCTCCAAAGAGGGCACATGTGTGTAGTGCAAACTCTGAGGGATTGCAAGAAGACTACCCAGACAGTACTTGACCCTCCAATACCTTAGTGGGTTTCATATACATTTACAGGAATTTACAAACAAAGGTTTTGTCTACACAACAAGTATAGGGAAGAAAATATCAAATTAGGAAAAACAATCAGGTGTTTTGAAAGGAATATAGATTGCATCAGTACTAGTTGAATTTTATTTTAAAATTTTTGGTTAAGCAAATATGTTGATCAAATTGATTTACGGCTGCTATCATTAAGGTAGGACATATGACCTAAATGTTAAGTACCATTCAATGTGCTTGAATGAGAAAAGGAAACCAAGATCATACCCCAAAATATGACCTCTTTAGATATGCCATTAAGAGACATGGAGGCTTTTAACATGAAATTTCACACTAAATTTTGAAAGCTAGTTATTACCTCTCATGACCATGCTCTTACTAAGCTGTATTATTCAATTCAAAAATAGTTTATCAAGTATCTACCATTAAACCAGAACTATGACATACAAACAATTTTAAGAGAAAACGTGACCAGGGCAATTTTAATAAAGTAGAACCATTAGAATTTGACTTTTAAAGCAACAATCCATAGTCATATATCAGGGGTGCTTATATGAAAACATTATGTGGGACTTACATATTGGTATTGGCAGTTGATGTCAGCCATTCGCCGGCTAAGCCAATGATATCCAATCCAGTGGAGAGCTGGTTGAAAAATCGAGGATGACCTACAGAAGTGAGTAATAAGAAAGCATCAAGGCTAACCCAGATTTCTCAAGCTACCATCAAAACAAAAGTCCTATCCCACTTGGTCACATTGATGAGGCCACCATCCCAATGGTCTTATAGGGCTGCTTAATGATATGTCCACAGTACTCCAACTTTTAGCATTAATGATGTCCCCCAAATGTCTATGTTTCTAAAGGGTCATGCTTTTAAATTTTAAAAAATCCAAAATCATTAAATGAATCATGCCTTCCAATATCTTACTTGTTGACTTCCAATCAACCTCTGTACCACATTTTAAAACATTACAATAGAGGGTGTGATGGCCTGATTTTTTTCATAACTACTTCAATTTTTAATTCAACATCCCAACATCAAGATTTGCTGATGGAGGACAGGTTGCAGTCCTCAGAGAAGGTTCTTGGCTCTGTGGACGAAACGAAACCTGGGGAAAGTACCAGCTCTGATGCTGGTGCTAAGGGCATTACATCACTCTCTGGGTCTCTGTGACAAATATAACATCAAGCATCGATGTGTTTTACTCATATAAAACACATGGTTAAACTAAATTTAACTTAGTTTAAAGATGACTTAGTGTCTCCTCTGTGAAATGGGCAGACACAGCCTCATTCACTCACTGAGTCATTGGTGAAATAATTGTTGTTATGACAGAACTCTAAAGCCCTGTGCAACCCACAGTATGCTTTGCTGCTCTCAGCAAATTCAGGATTGTTGCCAAGTTTTTTCAAGTTAACATTCACCAGAAATCTCAACTCCACATCAGCAGGCTTGGCTCGACTGTCAGGAAGAAGTCAACGCAATAGATTATCTAGGGATGTGTGGCAGAGAACTGGTGTTAGAAAGATATGCTGACTACTGTGTTTCCAGTGGAAATTGCCGTTGCCTCTGAAATAACTGTCAGAGAGCTAGTGTTTGAATGTTCCTGGTCCAACCCCCCTCTCTGAGAATGTGAGATGTAAGTCAGAATATCTGGACTGTCATAGTACGTACCAATCCCTGCATCTCAAGAATCCTCACAAAATAATACTGATTTAAACAAAAATAAAAGAAGCATAAACAGTAAACATAGTGTAAATATGGGGCTAGTTTCTAGATATTCACGTAGGCTATTCTACATAGCTTAAACTATTGCATTTTACTCCACTTTGCTTATTGGCAACAGAATCTGAGATCTCCTGCAATATAATAAATTGTGTTGAAATCCCTTAAACTATATAAGCTATACCTATTTAAACACTTTTATCATAAAATATTTAATGTTAAGATAGGACTGACTCATAAGCAAATGCAATCACACTATCTGATAATGTATCAAAACCACATGGCATGGCAGAGAGAAAAGATGGACAAAGACAGAAAGACTGACACAAATGAAACAGTATCTCTTTGTCCATTAAAACATAAAGAACACAAAGTTCCCCAAACCTTATTTTTAGCTTATGGTTACAATCTTATGTCCCCGAAATCTAATATGATACCAGAATTTCTATCAAGTGACAAAACAACCTGGTTTAAATTTAAATTTCAACTTTATATTCAATGAAAACAACAGATGATAGATACATTACTGAGCAGCACATGGCCTGGATTCAGGTAGGGGAGAAAGAAAGAGTTATTTTTTAAAGTAAAGTTTTTAACAAATAAACTGCAAGAAAAAAAGGGAAGAGATCGATTAGGAGATACAGCAACCAATTGCAATGCGAGGGACTTATTTGGAGCCTGATTCAAATGAATTATAACAAAATTAAACAAAACACTCATGAGACAATTGGAAATTTGAAAATTGACTGAATATTTCATGATATTAAAGAACTGTAAATTTTGGAGGTTTTTTTCAAGTATGACAATGACATTGTGTGTGTGTGTGTGTGTGTGTGTGTGTGCGTGTGCTTGTGTGTGTGTTTTAAAGATGAATTCTTGAGGATAAAGAATATTTATGGATGCAGTAATGTTATGTTGGGGATTTGCTTCCACACAATATAGAAGAGGGGGAGGTGGGTGGAGCTACAGGTGAAATAAAAGTGGCAGGAGTTGATAATATTTATATCTGGGTATTGGGTATAAAGGGTTCATTACACCACTTGGTGTAAGTTTAAACTTTTTCATCATAAACAATTTAAACAAAGAACAAATAAGGGAGGTTGGAATATCTACAAATCACCTAAATAGCAACTGTGACTGATGGGTGACTAGTATCTGTATAAGCTTGTTCTATAGAATGTATGAGATGCCCTGCAATCTATATACATTGGTTCCTTTTTACAAAAGAAGTGTTTGGTTAATTTGTAGAGACATTTCTAAATCTCTTCATAGACCATACCTGCATCAGTATGTTTTCACTAATAAAACCCAATTCATTATTTTGACTGAGCATTAATATCCTTTAAAAAATACTTTCTGGCTGGGCACGGTGGCTCACACCTATAATCCCTGCACTTTGGGAGGCCGAGGTGAGAGGACTGTCTGAGTCCATAGGTTCGAGACCAGCCTGAGCAACTTGGCGAGACCTCATCTCTACAATAAATCAAAAAATTAGCCAGGCGTGTTGATGCATGCCTGTAGTTTCAGCTACTTGGAAGGCTGAGGCAGAAGGATCACCTGAGCCCAGCAGGTCGAAGCTACAGTGGCCGTGAGCGTGCCACTGCACGCCAGCCTGAACGACAGAGTAAGACTCCAACTCAAAAAAAAAAATTTCCACTGTGTGTTGCTACCTGTGGGGTTTACCCTATTGCTCCTGTATTCACATCTAAATGACAAAACAGTGACCGGGAGCTTTGTGTTGACATGACAGCAATGGCTACTTTTACCGGGGTCAACACCGTGAGATGTAGCAGAAAGTTTCACATTACTTGGAAGATTGTGAGCTCTATAAATGCAAACATCTGCCCCCAGAAGCTGCTCTGAAGAACAGATATGGATATTTGCAGGCTAAATACCTAAGTGGATTCATGCACTGGATTCAATGAAAGTCTATGCTTTCTCTGACAGTGAGATGCTTTCATTTTATAGACTATAGGAGATGCTAATATAAAAAAATCATGTATTTTTCTTTGATGGGCAACACCACTCTGGGCTTTAATGATAAAATGACATGTTACCCATCTCGCTGAGAAAGTGCATGTAGAGCCAAGTGACAAAATTCAAAACATTGGACCAAAACAAGTCAAGTTCAGACATACATGGAAAATTCTGACTCTTTTTAAAACTCAGCCAAATAACACTACTTGTTCTCCATCAGGAATAGGTTAGCTATCAAACCAAGATGAGAAGTAACTCAGTATAAATTGATGAGAGTGCTTTTCTATAAAAATCAACACAAACGTTGTACATATAATTGAGTCTTGTCTCTCCAGCAGTTTTCAACGAAGCTACACTTATTCCAATGGTGTTGGCAGACCTCAAAAGCTATTTGAAAATTCCTTATTTAAAAAAAATCTTCTTTAGCCAGCCTCATTATTTCATTATAACACTTTGTTTTTGACATCCAATAGTCTTACTCAGCTCTATCACCACCAGCCTTCCCAGTCTTGGGTCTTAAATCTATTTTCAAATACCAAGAAGAGTGAGAGGGAAAATAAAAGAGGAGAAAGAAAGAAGAAAAAAAGAACAAGGGGTTGCCCGTTGTGGCCTTGAGGTTCCCCCTGTGGTAGCAATTATTCTAGGAACTGTCAATTCCCACAGATCATCTGCCCGAGAGCTCGGGAAAGCCAGACTGTAGTGGGGAGATAGTCAGAGGGAGAGGAAACTACTCTTGGGCTTAGAAACAGCTCAAACACAGGTATAAAAGTCCTTGAACTTGAAGCAATTGGAAAGTAACAACTTTTGCCAGTTCTTAGAGGGTAAGCAGGCATCCTCAAAGACTCCTAGTTAGAAGTAGAATTTGGTGACTCAGAGTGTCTAAGCTCCAGAAGTCAGAGTAGAATGTGAATGGGGTGTGTGTGTGTGTGTGTGTGTGTGTGTGTGTGTGTGTGAGAGAGAGAGAGAGAGAGAAACAGACAGACAGACAGACAAACAGACACTTTTTGGCTTAGTCAATAGGTGTCGTGGGTTACATTGTGTCTCTCCAAAATATAGGTTCAAGACCTAATCCCTGATTCCTGTGCAAACAGGGTCTTTGTGGATGTAATCAAATCAAGATGAGGTAATACTGGATGAGGATGGGCCCTAATCCAAAGAATTATGTTATGAGAAGAGGAAAATTTGGACACATACACACACACACACATGGAGAATGTCATGCAAAGTGGAGGCAGAGATTGGAGTGATGCATCTACAAACCAACGAATGCCAAGGAATGCTCACAACCACCAGAAGCTGGAAGAGGCAGGGACAGATCCTCTCCAAAAGCCTTCAGAGACAGCACAGTCCTGCCGACACTTTGATTTTAAACTTCTAGCCTCTAGAGCTGTGAGATAATAAATTTCTGTTGTTTCGAGCCACCCAATTTGTGGTAGTTTATAATGGCAGCCCTCAGAAACTAATACAGAAAGGGAAGGAAATGAGTCCAACTCTCCCCAGTATCAGGGACAGGAAAAGGTAGGATTTATCAAAATGAAATAGACCTGAAAATGGAGGGGAGAAAAGAAGCAGAGGGTGGATCATGCTGCTCTCTTTGGGTTGTGAAGATCCTAAAACCAAGAATGAAAACTCTTTATACAGAAATTGACTTAGCACCATGTGATTGTATCTTTGATCCATTTTTACAGCAAGGTTTGGGGCCTTCCACCACCTGTTACTGTCCAAGGTTGTTCCTCTGGTCACTGAGCACCTTGTTGCCTTCTCTCACCAGGGCTGCGTTTCTCCTCCATCGTGAGTCTGATATCCTCACAGTTGGCAAGGGCGAGATGGAGGTCAAAGTTGTCACCACACATCAACGGCTCTTATCCTTACCTGTGCGAACCCCATACTTCAGGGTGTCTCTGCAGTCAACCAGGATCTGCTCCAGGGATTCGGGGTGGTCAGAGAGCTCCAAGTTGAAGCCCTCCATGCCTTCCAGCAACTGGTGTGGGTGATGGAAGTCCAGGACCTTGGTGGAGCGATCAAATGTCTTGCGGACATAGTTGAGGAGTATGTCCACCACTTCTAGCAGGAACTGTACAGTTTGCTCCTCCCCATTCTTAGCTGGAAGCAGATCTGAGGGGAAAAGTCAACAAATGTTATCACCTGACTCATATCTGAATGTCTTCAGCCCAGAGATCCCTAATATTAACCATGATGTCTTTATAGGCCTAATTTAAATTCCAAGATATGTATATACACAGAGAATCTGATGTACTGTATCCCCAGAAAAATGTACATATACACGTACACAGAAATTTTGCATACATTTTCTGAGGGTTCACAGACTTCCTGATGGGTTACTCATACATGGAATAGAGCACTTTGAGAGGCCAGGAGCAACCTGGTACTGTGATTGTTCATCTGCAAGCTGAACAGGCAGCTGTGAGGAGTATGATGGTGAGGACTTCTGTTGTGCTTCCCTGGCACCAGGTGTGTCCCTGGACATCTGGTTTGGTATCATGATGTGCTTGATCTATTGATGGCAGAGGGTAAAGCCTCTATGGGTGGAGGCTGAGGGCTTCCCTGAAGAGGGTGGTCCTTTGTGGAATCCTCAGACAAGAAACTAGAACTGAAAGGGCTCAAGGAGATAGGAGAGGGGACGCCTGCCTCTCTCTTGACCTCATCCTTTTGGGCTTGGACTTTGAGATGTCTGGAGGTGAGTGGTTTTGTCTGTTTTTGTTTGTTTGTTTGTTTTTTGAGTCAGGGTCTCACTCTGTCACTCAGGCAGGAGTGCAGTGGCAACTAGGTTTCACCACAGAATCGACCTTGATCCTTCTGTCTCAGCCTCCTGAATAGCTGGGACTATAGGCACATGCCACCCTGCCCAGTTAATTTTTTGATTTTTTTGTATAGATGAAGCCTTGCTATGTTGCCCAGGCTGGTCTTGAATTTGGACTCAAACAGTCTTCCTGCCCTGACCTGCCAGAGAGCTGGGATTACAGGCCAGAGTGTTAGTATTACCACGTCTGGCCCTGATGGTGACTTTGGGTTATAGGCCCTGCTAGGCAGATCAGGCTGGGGTTTAGCTGGGGAATGTTGTAGGGGCCACAAGTGAGGTTGTCAGCCACAGCTCAGGAACAGGTTATCCTGCTGTACATGATGTTCTGTGTCTATTCCCTGGATCATCTCTGAAGTTTTAGGAAAGTCTTGTTTAATGTTCGGATGTGAGACACACAGGGACAAACTTCTCCAACATATCTCCTGTGGCCCTGAGTTATTGGAAGTGGGTGGGTGGCAGTAGGTCTAACTTTGAGCTGTTCAGGAGAGACTGGTAAAGCACCTGAGGTCAGAATTGTGGGGCAGCAGGAACTAGAGAAAGATCTCCAGAAGGAAAATGTATTTTAGGACACTGCTTGGTTATAAGGCCCAGCATATAGCTTCCCACAGAGTGATTGTGTGTGTGTGTGTATGTGTGTGTGTGTGTGTGTGTGTGTGGTCAATCTTAGGGGATAAATGTTATTAAGGGAATCACTGGATTTGTTTATCTGTAAGATTCTTGATTCTGAGATTTTATTAACCCATATTTGTCTCTGTGAGTGTCTTTAGAGGGAACTGTTTTATTGACTGTCCTCACCCAGCTTCCAAAATGTGGGACATCTGGACATTAGGGAAGGAGGGAGTTGATTATACTCCAAAAGCAGTTTCATGAGCATTCAGAGGGAGGAATGACCTTTCTTGATAAAAGCAGTAAAGTTTCAAGAAAATGTCAAGAAACTCAAAGAATCTACTAGACAGTACCAGGGCTGGGAGTGTGAGGAGGGACTACCTCTGGCATACAAGTTGGAGAAGTCTGTCTCTGTGCGCCGGAAGCGGGCATCCCGGTCACTGTTTTCACAGGAAAGCAGGTTCTTGGAGGACTGCCTCTCCTTGAAGGCACTCACAAGGCGACTCTTCTCTTCCAGGCTGTTGGTCCTTTGCAAGAAGCCTGTGGCACAAGAAGCCAGGTCAGAGAGAGTGCTCTGAACTGCCCAGCCCCGCGGGTCAGCTGTAGACCCAGTCAGTTCTCCAAGCAGGGCTCTGACTTCTGAGAAGAGCAGCGGAGTGTCTGTATTTTAAATATAGTGGCTCTGGCACCACTCGCCTTTAGGCGGGGAGGGGGCAGTGCCAAGTGTCATCAGTGGCACAGACCCAGTCATGCAAAAGAGAAAAACAGTAAGTGAAGCCCATTCTCCTCTCTGAACATGACAGTGAACTCAGAATTAAGTCAGTTGGACAGCTTCCACTCCAGTAACCAGCCCCAGGATGGGGTTTTAAAGGAGGGGACACAATCAGAGAGGATGCTGCCAGCACTGGGTTTACGGGCTGTACAACCAGAGGCAGGAGGGGAGAGCACAGCAGAGGAAAGAGGAGGGGTAAGGACAGCAGAGAGGGCAAGGGTGAAGACAGGAGAGGGAGGAGGGAGAGGACCAGCAAGGAAGAAGGAGGGTGAGGACAGCAGAGGGAGGAGAGGGAGAACAGCAGAGGGAATAGGGTGAGAATAGCAGAGGGAGGAGGAGGAAAAGACAGTAGAGGGAGGAGGGTGAAGACAGCAAAGAGGGAAAGGGGGAGGGGAGCAGAGGAAGAAGGAGAAGTGAGGACAGCAGAGGGAGGACAGTGAGGACAGCAGAGAGGAGGGTGAGCACAGCAGAGGGAGGAGGGTGAGGACACAGAGGGAGGAGGAGTGGGGACTGAAGACAGCAGATGGAGGAGGAGGAGGGGTGAGGACCACAGAAGGAGAGGGATGAGGATAGCAGAGAGAGGAGGATGAGAACAGCAGAGGGAAGAAGGTGAGAATAGCAGAAGGAGGAGGAGGGGTGAGAATGAGGAGGAGAGCGAAGACAGCAGAGGGAGGAAGAGGAGTGAGGACAGCAGAGGGAGGAGGGTGAGAAAAGCAGAAGGAGAAGAAGGGGTAAGAGCTAGAGGGAGAAGGATGAGGACAGCAGAGGGAGGAGGATAAGGACGGCAAAGGGGGGGAGGGGAGGATAGCAGAGGGAAGAAAGTGAGGACTGCAGAGGGGGATGAGGGGTGAGGACAGCAGAGGGAGAAGGATGAGGACAGCAGAGGGAAGACAGTGAAGGATGAGGACAGCAGAGGGAGGAGGAGGAGTAAAGGCAGCAGGTAGACAAGGGATAAGATTCAGCACTGAGGATTAGGGAAGATGCTTTCCTCCAGCACTAGGTCATGCTCACAGGATTGAGATGATTGGCATTTTTCTGACCCAAACCTGAAATGTAGCTTTTCCCACACTATCTCCTTCCTTGAATAAAGGTATTGGGAAAAGAGACAAGAAAGTTTACAATCTTCTGAGTGTTGACATTTAATTTTCTAAGTACTCACTGTGCACCTGTTGTACAAAAGCACTTTACTATGCATTTAGGATGAGGTACAGATAAGGTGAGGCAGACCCCCTACCTTCCAGGAGCTTACAGCCCAGCAGATCGTGACTGAGGTCAGAATAAACGCAGAGTATTCCAAGAGCTCCACAGAGGTGAACTCAGAGCCCAGAGTGGTAGTTACAGTGTCTCTTCTGCTCCTCAGAGCGGTGGAAGTTTCTCCCACCTGAGGTGAGCATACCACCAGCAGCAAACAGGAAAGCAGGTTGGAGTCAAAAGGGTTGGAGAATTTGCCACCATGGAGCACACCCCCCCCACACCCCTCCACCTACGCCCACTGGGGCTCTTGGTCAGCAAACCTGCTCTTTCCCTCAGCAATTCCTCCTCCAATACAGCTTCAATCTTAACCCAAAACACTGTGCACTGAAATGAAGAAGAAAGTTCTAAGCTTCTTGGTAAACCCAAAGCTGTCTTATTCGTCTTCTTCTTCTTCTTCTTTTTGAGTCAGAGTCTCGCTCTGTCACCAGGCAGAGGCAGTGGCACCATCACCATAACTTTGACCTCCTGGGCTCAGGTAATCCTTCTGCCTCAGCCTCCCAAGCAGCTGAAACTACAAGTGTGTGCCACCATGCCTGGCTAATTAAAGAAAAAATTTGTAGAGATGAGTTCTCACTATGTTGTCCACACCGGTCTCCAACTCCTGGTGTCAAGGGATCCTCCCACCTTGGCCTCCCAAAGTGCTAGGACGCTGTTTTTGTAGACAACAAGATCCTTGGGAAGTCTCAGGCTTGGAAGAAAGTCCCAGGAGGTGTAAGAAAGTCAAGTTGATCTGGAGAAGTCAGTTTTGCTTCCCCAGGACTACAATTCAACAGTGATGGGAGGAAGAGGGCGGGATGCAGAGGGATAGCTGTGGCGATTAGAATCCTCCCACACACCAGAGCCAGGGGCTATTTTTGGAGGGAAGAATAGGAAAGCTGAGGCACTGGGCCCTTCACTGTTCCTGGCTCCATTTAAATTTATCACTAAAACCCAAGAGGACATCAGGAGGAGTGAAATACACTCTAAGGGAGCTCCATACTTGGATACAAAGATGGAGTTTAGCCTTTCCCTCGCCTTGTCTCCTGCTGTCCAAATTCCTCCTCCAAATCCTCAGAGTCTAGAGCCAGGAGTCAGCACTCGTTCTCTAGACGGATGCAGGACCACCAGGCTCCTGAGCTCTGGGACTGCTCCACAACAGTGAGCTGTGGAATCTACCAGGTTGGAAAGACCAAATCCATGTGGCCTAATGGGGTGAGATCCCATTTAGTCAAACTTCCGCTCTGTAGTCTCTGACCTCTCTGGTTGGGCTTCTGACTCCCTCCCTGAGAAAGCCCTGAGTCTCCCCACCTGGAAACCCCTTTAGAAACCCCTTTCCTCTGGGGACAAGACTTAGGCTTTGCATATTATCTCCAGAGGAGGTTCTGACACAAGCTGTCCCAGAGATGTCCTGATGGGGTTGAGAGATGATAATTATGACACAACTTTAAACTTGCATCCCACTCCTAGGCCACACTTCCTGTAATGCACCAGGAATCAGAATTTTCTCTAAATCCTGTAATTATTTTATGAATTGTACACTTAATGTTGCATTACAATTTGTGTCAAAAACCATTAATTTGCTGATGTAAACATTTAATGTATATTGATGTTTCTTTCAACTTGTTTAGGAAGGTTTTCTAAAAATAAGGCAACATAGCCCAGGCAACATAGCCCAGGCAACATAGCGAGACCTTATCTCTACAAAAATTTTTTCAAAAAATTAGCTGGGCGTGGTGGTGCATGCCTGTAGTCCCAGCTACTCTGGATGCTGAGATGAGAGGCTCTCCCGAACTCAGGAGGTTGAGTCTGCTGCGAGCTGTGATTGTCATGATCAAGCCACTACACTCCAACCTGTGCAACAGTGTGAGACCTCTGACTCAGGAAAACAAAACAAAACAAAAAACTGAGATCCTCAGAAAAAGTATTTGCTCCAGGCCTCTCTTGGCTCTGAGGGGCCCTGAAAGGAATTGGTTTTTGAGGGACGAAGAGGTGGTGGATGATATTGAGGTTTGTACTTTGACAGCTTCCCTGGTTAGCAATGGGCCCTGGTATCTCTGACATTGAAACAGACTGCACTCCCTCTTGCTCTACACCCCAGCTGTGAGGACTAGTTAAAGCCTGTGGGTAACTGGTCACAGAGCTCCACATTCTTAGAGGCAAAGCAGAAAGCTGAGGAGAAGCAAAGCACAGGTGTGTTTGGTCAGGCAGTAACACCAGCCTCAAGGGGAGAGCAGGTGGCGAGTTCTGTCATGGCGCCACCTCCAGACTGAGAGAGCTTCAGCTGCTGGTTCCTTATCCCTGCTCTCAGACTCAAAGGACCAGGGTGCCCAGTGTGTGTGTGTGTGTGTGTGTGTGTGTGTGTGTGTGTGTGTGTGTGT